CAGTAATAGTAAACAATAATGTTCACAGGATCTCTGATTATCCTTATTGAAGTGAGGTGCTTCCAATCTGTCTAGTTCCTATACATCTACTACTGGACTAAATATCTGAAATTGAGAGCTGCTATCGGAACGGTACTCCAGAGCCTAACAATAAGAATTTGTGGGTAAGGATCCAAAACAACGGAGCACTTGACAGCTTGATGATCGCCCTAATGTGCGCAGAGAAGTTCAAAGTTACTGCAAAAGGAAGGATATTGGAGCACACCAATGGAGCCCATTGTTCTCGGGTAGATGAATAAAAAGCTCGGGGTAGAATTCCTTCCAAAGAAAATACTTGCCTTCCAAGCCGCGAATTTTCTAAGGATTGTGAGTGGGGAAGGGTATAGCGCGAGATCTACCCGTTGGCCCCCATAGACGTCCTCAAGAGTGAAGGCACTTTTACCTAACATAGTTAGGTTGAGAACAATCAACTAATTATGCAGCTACACTTGGGGACATAGACAACCCTCGTCAATGATGAAAGAATAACGAGAAATAATGGGATACAAAGCGACAACACTGCTGCCGTTGCCCCAAACATTGTTACGTCGCTGTGCCGTTGCCGCCTAATCACAATTCGGAACGGCGATGTTGCCGCTCGACACTCCTCATATCAAGGAACGAAGGTTCACTGAATGTGAGAGTTGAAAGCCACTTTGGGTTAGACTTGATCCACGACTTCGATGTCAAGCCGTGTTAAGCACTAAATTCTGCCCCATTCCGCGTCGGTATCCTTCTCGTGGGTTCACTTGTAGGAGGATCGTGGGAATGGGAGTATCACAATCCTATAAGTAGATTCGGTCTGAGCCAAGGTGGACTGAAAATAGCGTAAGCTGACTAAGGGTATGTCGACTGCCTCGCTAAAAATTGTAAATGAGCATTCTTAATGGCTCCTGGAAAAATTTCTGGATTCGAGAGACTTTATGCAAGAACTGCTACAGAACGATACTCTTCTAGAGTATTTTGCACAAACATGGCCTTTTCCAGTCGTCTTTACTAGGGAAAGAACATAACCCGCATTGGAAAGAGGAAAGCTCAAACCTAGCAGCAGAATCTGCTATCTCTTCTGATGTGGAAGTTTGCTGACAGGGGACAGAATACGTCGGAAGCACTAAAATATGATGTATAAAAGCTAAATCCCACCAGCGGAAGTAGAGGCAATAGGGAAACTATCGGTGAGATCAATGGGTATGATGTGGATATCGCCTCGAAGCCCTCAAATCTTCGTTTTTTCCCCGGAAATCCGCTCAAGTCGAATACGAAAGCGAATAGCTTGCTCATCGTCTGTGGCTTTAACGGGTTTTTTGGTTCGCTTTCCTTTTGTAGATTTCACGCTCATTGGCAAGCCAGCTACCCTGCTATTGAAGACCCTGTGCCTTTTGTTGATAATTCGGCTTTTAAATATTTGGCAAGTCATATGACCACTAAAGCATTTGTTGATCATAAAGAGTAGTTGTGTTCATTTGCATCACAAATTACATATGTACAGCAAAAATAATCCATTCTGAAATTTCTTGCGATTTCCTAAAATTATAAGCTCAGATAACAGAATACTACCTCCAGTTGTACTAGATTCTTAGACAAGTTCGTTCCGAGTCTAATTTTCTTCCGTGCTTTACCGTTATTATGATTGGATTTTTGATGAATTCTTTCTCACTTTCTGTGAACTTCTATAATTGCATTACCCAGTGAAGTACATATTTAGTTTTATTTTATCAAAATTTTGAAGAAAACTTGATATGATAATACGATAGTGGAAGTGACAACCTGAGGGTTTAGCTAGATATTAAATGCCGAACTGCCACAAGCATTGTCTAGTGGTTTTCTACCTAGAGTTGAGGAGACGCTACTAGTAAAAGAACTACATTACTCATTATAAAGGCAACAAATTATGAGCTGTACTATGCACTCCACTCGTTCATCCTGAGTCCTCTTCAACCGCCGCAAACACTAGTTATCTTTCTCAGCGCTCGAGCTGCTGCATCTCACCCAAGCGTTTTTTCCACCTTTGGTTTTTTGCGCAATTTTGCGACATGAAAATTTTTGACTCGAGCGTAGTTCACGTACGGCAGTATCGACTCATTGATGAGGTGTATTCGCCAGCACAGGGATTGCTGGGCATTCTTCGGACACCGTTATTCCCAACAACCAGCAGATGTAGCAAATCTAGCGTAGAGAGTCTACTGGGCATTCTGAGGGTAGAAAGTAATTCATTCGTTGTAGCCTAACCTTGAATCACCTAAAAAAAGGAGAAGTGAAAGAGTTATATATCATTTTTCCGAAAGCCAAGCGGGCTAAGCTATAAAGAGGTAGGGACAGTGATAGTATATGATGGTCTCGACTTTTGTGTGGAGTGCAGTTATCGTCGTTGTACGCACGTCATCGCTGTCTTGTTGCTGAATTGACTTCCAGAGCTGGCAAATTCCTATCTCCACATCACCAATTGTATACTTTTATTCTGGTATATGCTAAAATCATAAATCGTCTTAGTAACAAGAAAAGGTTAGAAAACATCTTCAATACATTTTTGCTGCTCCTATGCTTCGCATCTTTCTAACGATGGAGCTGGAAAATGACTTTGACACCTTAATCGAATGCAAAAGAACATTTAAAGGGTTTCTCAAGACGGTAATAAGTATTAATAAGTATTGGGCCAAGTGGAAGAGCGTCAGAATTGCTTCGACGGACCAACAACACAACCTTGGGTGACCTCTACTTTGCCAGATTCAGGAGTTTCTTGGTCCGAGACGGACGTGGGAAATATAAAGGGAACAGTGCCTTAACGGGATGGAAGCATGATCAATCAAAAACACTTTTCAATCAACTTCTGCCTGACTAGTGTGGCTGTTGTTACGATGCTTAGTAAGTGTTGAACCATCTCCTTCTCTGCACATCATCCCTTCTAAATTTTCAGGAGATCCGGAGGCAAGCTGTCTGTAGTCACAAGGAGACGTCTCCAGACTACTGTCATACCAGAAAAGTGGGGTTTACTGCCTACTGAAAATTATATCTCTCAGGACGCTTTTGAGGGAACATGACAACGTGGAGTTGAGTTTGCTGCAGATAATTTCGTGCTGACATTCGAGCTTGCTGAGCTATATATGCAAAGAAACAACAAAGAAATTCTATAAAACCGGAAAGAGCATGATTGCCATCTACCGGACCGATGCAAAACACTTTTAAAGATCGGGCAGAGTTGTATACGGATTCCAAAAAGCATTGGAGAATTCCGTATAATGGGATACCCTTATTTTTGATCAGGTGTATCCACCCACAAAAAATCGCATATTGTCCCGTCGTGATAGGGTAGAAACGGGACTCTGTAGTTACCTATGTATGTTATTCTAGTGAGGGCTACACATGTAATACCTATTGTACGGATTGCAAAGTAGTTATTACTCAAAAGTCAACACAACCGTCTGAGGATGAAGTAAAGCACAATCATGCGAGCAAACAGGTTCCGATGGATACTTATCGTAAGCTCTGATACAGTCCCCCATCGTAGTCACAGTATCTTTCAGAGGTTATTTTCACGACACACCCAACGGTAAACTACCAGTCTGACCAGTACCAGTAGTAGCCTCTCAAACTCAATTACACTTAAGTAGGAGACTTTGTAGTTCGAAAAAAGCCCAAATGTTTATTGCTTTTATTATTTTTATAACATGCATTTATGAGATTATATCAACAGGATGCAGAAACTCTTGCTATTTTCCTATAGTCTGCAGGCATTATTCACATTTGTTAGGTTTGCATATCTTTGGATCAGTGTTGAGGGGGTAATGTTAGCAAACCTTCGAGCTTCATTGCTACATTTCCAATTTCTGAAGAGTGTGAAACAAATTCAGAGCATGTTGATTGTTATTCTCAATTCGCGACTGCAATGTAGTGTAGAATCTTTGGAGCCTCCAATGCATGGGGGCTATCTTCGAATGCATACATACCTTACCAGAAAAGGCTTGTACAATTTGCGAAATAAAGGGAAAGCTGCTTACTTCGTCTGAAATGACGATTGTACATTTTTGTCTGTTTTTTATTGCTAATATTACATACAGTGCCAACTATTAAATGTCAACTCAGTCAGTCAGTGCTTGAACATTTGATTTTCAACATCTATGCATTTGTATTTTTGGAAAACCTACGAGGAACTGTTTGCCAAAGTCTCATCCCTTGTGGAATACTGTCTCCATTCCACGCATAACTCATCCTGTAGGAGCCATTATAGCTACTTCAGTGGCAAAATCCACGATAGTTTGGGATAGCTAGTCTCAGACGAGCAATGGAAGTAGTAGTCCAGAACAGTACAAAAGTGGGGAAGAAAGCACGAAAATGGGCGTATTTTGAGCAGCATAAGGCTTCGAAACATTTTTAAAGGAGGGTAGGAGGAGAAAGTGGCGACAAAAGATGCTCGGAAGAAGTATTTGGACGAGCTGCCCAAATGCTTGTCAACGCAAATAGTGGTATCTCTACAGCCCCTAGAAAACCAATCTCGTCCGCTTTTAGCTAAGCCGGTCTTGGGGCCGTTGATACGCCCTATCCAAGCCGTTTTCGACCCTGCAGTGTCCCATATGCCACCCTTGGGGTCTCTGTTCATCCTAGAGAGAAATCTCAAAAACCCCTTTATCATGGATACCGCCTATACCATATTACTTTTATGTGTACAATAAATCTTACATCTCAAAACCCACATTGTGAGAGCAAAAAGGAGCACAAATGAACCATCAACAAACTAGATGGGAAGAGGATGGACATTATTTGTTCGATCTTTAGGATTTTTCAGATCCAGTGAATATTTGGCTGGCAGTATTAATGAAAGCACCCCAAATGACTTTCATGTGCTCTCGCTCCACGTTTTCTTAAAAACTTACTCGAGAAAGCCGGATCAGCATGGCTTAGGTAGATCTTAAATCCATCATTGTGGATATAAGAGCCAAAACGAAAAAAAAAACTCGAGTGTAAAATTAATATACAGTTATCTCAAATGAGTTTTTCGTGAAACTCACTACATTTCCGCACATACAGATGCGACGTCTTGGTCGTTCCATAGCGATGGCTTTTGTGTGCAGGGACGTTCGTGGACGCCGGACATACCCAACACTTGTTGTTTCGTCCCTTTCGGAGTGGGTATCGGCATTGAAGGAGATCGCCGACAGGACGCTGTTTTTCGATAAGCGTTTGTCAGAGCACGGATTACGAAAGAACCACGCTGAGGAGTCTCCACTGATCGAAATGCAATCATGATTTCGTGTCGTTGGCGAGATCGGCTCTTCCGTCAGTCGAACAAGTGCAGCACTGCTGACTGTGCGTTTAAACTCTCGAAGGTAGTGGGAACTCGAAACTGCGCGGACCTCCTCCTCTACAAGGTCGTCCAGGTGGCGATTCAATGGAGCACGCATCGAACGGAATAGGTAGCGGGTTGCATTTCCAGTATCCACGATTTCGTTAGCCATGATCTGAAAGTAGGCCAATCAAGCAATTGGAAGTATGTACACATTCTTGAAATTGACGTTGTCCAAGGGCAAATCATTAAAAGAGCTCGTTTAGTAGAGGTAATAACGTATATGTATAGCAGCTTTCAAATATCACCAAACAACTTCGAGGTCATCTTGACGTCACGACGACGCTCAAGAGCTGTGTAAGATTTTTGAGTGGATATTAGATAGCATCATAAAGGAAACGATGAGGTGAATGTAATCAGAAACTGGAGAACAGATGAGGAAATTCATAATTTCAGCTCAAAAACCCACGACCAACGACAGCCTTCTGCGTGAAGGATGATGCAAAATTTTATTCTCATGGGTCGTATACACGTTTCAGGAATTGGGATAGAGGAGAGGAAACGAATAAAGCTTCCGATTGAAGAGGAACAGGGCTGTGTAGATGTCAAGCGATAGGAACCATAAGCTGGTCTAGGAATTATCGGAGGAAAGACATCATGGATGCCTTAAGAGTCAGAGAGTAAAATCTGAAAGGAAAAACAGAAAGTACTGTTGTAGTGCATGGCGGACAGAATTTGTTCAAAACCTAAAAAACAGGTCACGGTCAGGATGGCTCCGCAGACTTTGTAAAGCAGGTAATTCTGGCTCTCGGGAAAGCGACACACGGCATTACAAAGAAAACATTATAGTTGGGAAGCGATCCAGAAGGGTTCCGAGTTTAGCGACTTTTTTTCGGTGAAATTATTTCAATTATTCCAAATTACTTGGCTGATAATAATTTGATATAAAAAGTGCATACTTCCCTGCTTTTGTCTGTCTTTGCCTTCATTTCTATAAACTTATTCTCGGAGTTCTCGGAGGAACAGCACAAGTTATTGAAACTTCCGGCTAAGTACTGACGAATTCACAACGCTGGATTGAAAAGAGCTAGTTCTGCGTATTCACCCTTAAGAAGGAGAGTCTAAACGCAAACCTTTTTTCGCTATTAAGTCATTCTGACATATTAGGAAATCTGTCAAGCAAAAGCTTGAAACTACGAACGAAACGAATGGTCACCAGTAATTCTTTTCAAGATTCCTCACAGCACCTATTGTGCGTAATTGAGTAGGGGGACCCGCACCCGTTATAGAAACCAAAGGCCAGTTCATTGGACAGTGAAGGCTTTGAACTCGAGAACACCAAATGCCGGTAGATCTGGCCAGATGGGTCAGACGCCACCAAGCTGTTTCAACATCACCTCCGCATTAGGACTACAGCCAAGCCATTACACGGAAAGTCAAACAAATTAAAAACGATCAGTTTTTGCGCGGTGGTCAGATTTCTCCTGCAAGCTCTCCACGATGCATTAAACACTCTGTAAAAAAAAGTCCTTGGCTGAAACTGAAGAGGACCCTCTATACACTCTTTATAAAGAGCAGAAATGGAAGTAGACCATACTAAAAATTATTCGTGGAATTATTATGTATGTTAGAAGAGTTGTGTTGGAATGTGTCTGTGACGATCCGAAATATCACCTGAACACTCGTCCCATCTATAATAACATGTATTTGTTGCAGTGTTCGTTCGACTTGTCACGGAAAGGATTCTATTAGTGACCGCCAGGGCCCGACGGTCACCACCTTATTGCATGACTTGTCCGGCCCACCTGATCATCGATTACTTGGCGTAAGTATGTCATCCCTGATCTTCGTTCGTTGATGGAGCTCGTAACTACGGTTACCCCTTTTGCTCTTGCGTGCATAGAGAAATCCTGATCATCGTTCCTTCCAAACGCATTGAATGACGCTGACATTGTGTCAATACTACTTTCGTAGACTCCGAATCTCGGAGGCGTACGTCAAAGCAGGAAGGACAGCAGTTTCGAAAAGGTCAACGCGGAGTCGGATCTTCTTTGGCCTCTTCTCTACTCCCACGATTTTCATAAAAGGGCCCTAAGTTCACGGAATTGAGGGACAATTGTGTTCTAGCCGCCGGGTGATTAGTCATGGTAGCTTAAAATGGACATGGGATTATCAATCACAAGACTGCCTCTCGAGTACTTTCCAGTCGTTCGATTACAAGCTATATCAGCTGAGTTGATGTCCATCCCAAGAATTCGCATTCCGCTCTGAGCAAGTACTGTGACTTTTGGTACACGCCTTAGGCCCCCATTCGTCATCTGAAACGTGGGTGAAAGAAGATACGCGGGTGCTCTTAAGTAGAAGGCATAAGGGGAAAAGCGATGCCATGTATTGCTTCTTATGAAGAAGATCAAAGACCATCTCATAGCAAAAAAAAATGACCGAAATCCTACTCTGCATAAATATGCATGCCAGGAAGAGACAAAAAGAACCACATAAATGGGATTCTGCTGCCGAAGAAGAAATGCCTCTGAAGATCAATACACCGAGGGGTCGATTGGTGATCAGATGCTGTAGGTGTTCTTATGATCAGGCGGGAAGGAGTCGCAGAAGTGAATTTATAAAAGGGAGCTCTCGAGAGGGGAAGGTCGTCTTTAGTTACTCTTCTCCGCCTATCCCCGCAGAGTTTGTGGACTCCGTGCTCTGGAATTCCCCGACGATTCTAGCACCCTTAGTAGTGCTGGTGGGAAGAACCTCAGGAATCGTGGGATAAAGAGGACCAGAATACTAAGGAAGGCCTAAGTGGCCAATTTCTTTTACGGCTGGGTTTCCCCGCGGTTCTCTCTGTGTTCGACCCACTGGTGGATCTTTTTGTTGGATGATTGCTTCTCAACTATTCCTTGTTTTTATTGATCTTTTTTTCTTGTTACACCAAACTTGTAAATTACTGTGCTTCGTCGGGCATTTGTAACTGGAGCCACCCCTATTCGGTGTAGAACCAAGGTCCCTAAGGAGGGACCTTATACATGGAGGTCGAACTGGTGCACTGAATCTGGAGTGATTTAGTAGCGAATGTACAGGCCTTCGCGTCGAGAATCATTTCCGGGCTCCGAAAAGGAGACCCGTTGTGCTGAATACTACAAAGCAAAGATGCCATGTTGCAGTGGAAGCGTTGAACGTCTGAAATCAGGTGCCACCATGCTGGGACAAGCAACAAATGGTAGTTGTTCCAGAGTGGATTGCGAGAACCAGTAGGGAGTGACTACTGCCTACCCCGAGAGGTAAGCAACCTATGTGATTGTGAAAGTGGCTAGGAGAAGAAAGACAGGAGGTGGCGAAGTAGCTGGGCAAGTTACGCAGAGACCATGGTGAGGATAAATCGTCTTCGGAGGCCTTGACAATTCCATAAGTGGTACTCTAGTGGAGGGAGGAATAGAAAGCGAGGAAGACTGGAAGGATTGTGTGGCAACAATTAGGCCCGATGGAGAGATAGTTTCGCATCTACATAAGCGAGATGGTAAATGTGGACATCTCCCAGATTAAGGATTGTGTCGCAACCTCTCGGAGCAGGGCACGGACGAGAAGGGGTAGTAGGTATGGCCAAGCCCAAAGCGGAAGATTTGTTGAGTTACGACTATGGGTGGCGAAACGACAAGTATTTGTAGGGAAACCTTCATTCGAGTAGAGCGACACTTGCGGACAACGGAGGCAGTGGCGGCGCTGAAGCCCAAACCATAGGTACGGATGTAAATTACAGTTAATTTACTACTTACGGGCTATCTCAGAGCGTGATCACGTGTGATTCCACGTCAGCTGACATTCCGGCGGATGATTGCTTAGCAGGACAAGCTGAGAATGTGTTTTTGTCTCTCTCTACCACTTAAAGTCAAGGAAAAGGGTCTGGATGCTGTAACGACGGAAATGGCAAAACGGTTGGCTTGTGACTCAAAGGCATCCAGATTGAGAGCCTTGACTGAGTTAAAACATTTAAGAATGCGACCCAAACAGGATGCCGCTGAATTTCGCCTAGTGTTGGAAGGGCTAAGTATTCAGGCGAATACTGAAGAAGCAGTGGAGGAACGAAGCTGCACGCCATTTGTGAGAAATTTCAAGAAAAGGTATCAGAGAGTGATCACGTATGAGTCCACGTGAGCTGACAATCTGGCGAAGATCATTTTGGATAACTTAATCAATTGGTCTTAGCATTTCCAGCTAGCTGGCGCTATTCGCAATGTGGAGCCACGTAGGGCATACGAGGAAGCTAGGAATCTTGCTCTCAGTATAAGCAGCCTAAGCTGATCCCAACGTAGCAAACGGAATATTCCTTGCCTGCGTGGAAGACCAGAGCCATGCTATTTAACCGCAGCAGGGAAAGAAGATGTTATGATAGGGAAGACGGAGGCGTACGTGAGACAAGTAGGGCAGGGGGAACTCCGAGATGTGGGCCACAGCAGTCTTATAGCAACCCTCTTATGGAAGATAGAAAATGCTACACTCGCTTTAAGTACAGGTAGGTGGCACGAGAATGCCCAAGCCGGGTAGCAGAGATTGATCAGGTTGCATCTAAGGAAGTGGAGCCCAGAAGTGACGGAAGGAAACGTCTTTGACGCGTCTCACAGGAGCATGGACTTCCTCGTAGCCGTCTACTTACAGTTGAAGTTGGAGCAAGGGTACTCAAGAAGCAGCATTTTATGTTAGCCCAAAGAAAGAGCTTGATGTGATTGTGGAAATGAATGCTTCGAGCAAGCTAGGTACAATTATAATCATCGGCAACATCTCAACCAAAGGAATCAGACAACAGGTCTCTAAAGGAAAAGGAATGTGCCAATAAGGTGATGGTAGCAGAAAGACGCATTTGTCACCCAGAGACACAGCTCCAGTACAAGTGCTGTGTGACAGAGAAAGAGATGTTGTCGCAGAAAGATGGCCAGGTAGGCAAGGTGAGGAGCTAGGAGTGTACTCCACCAAATCCCAGAGAACAGTGCTTTCCGTAGTGGATGGATATGATCAATCCAGGATTTTAAAGGAGTCTGGAAGTGTTGGATACTGGAATACGGATATTGACACGTTGAGAATAATTCCTAAAAAGATCTCCGAGGAACGATTAGATGCAGTTCACGTCAGAGGTAAGAGAAATCGGAGATAAAAGTTTCTGAGAAGTATGCTGACGATTCAGCGGAGCATTGTTGACGTGGGCCAAGCAGAAAGGCGATGTGCGTCAGTGCCAGGGCAACTGCTGTCCAAAAATAATACCCAGAAGTGGCAAACGCAGACGCAAAGTATCTTCATACGGTCATTGCCCGAAAGGCAGGAAAATTTCAGCTCCTGGAGCCGGAGGGGGAGGGGGAGGGGGAAATGTCAGGTAGGGACAGAGCGAACTGTAAACTGAGATTCCACCGGAGTAGAAATGCCCTCGAAGATCAATGTACCGAGGGGTCGAGGTGATCGGATGAGTGTAGGTGATCTGATGATCAGGCGGGAAGGAGTCGCAGAAGTAAACATAACAAAAGGGAGCTCTCGAGAAGGAAAGGTCGTCTTTAGTTACACTTCTCCGCCTATCCCCACAGAGTTTGTGGACTCCGTGCCCTGGGATTCCTCGACGATTCTAGCACCCTTAATAAGTGCTGGTGGGATGAACCTCAGTGGTTCGTGAGATAAGAAGGAACAGGGTATTAAAGAAGACCTAAGTGGCCAAGTTCTTTCACGGCTGGGTTCGCCCGCGGTTCTCTTTGTGCTCGACCCACTGATGAAACTTTTTATTAGATGTTTTGCTTCTCAATTGTTCCTTGCTTTTATTGGTCGTATTTTGTTCTTGTTACAATAAACTTGTGAATAACTGTGTTTCGTCGGACAGTGGTGATTGAAGCCACTTCTACTCAGTGTAGTATCAAAGTCCCTAAGGAGGGACCTTACATGATCAAAGAAAATTTCGCAAGCGGATCACAAGGATGGCGAGCTATGGACAAAACAACGGCGTCATAACGACAGTTGGCAAAACACCAAGCCAAAATAAGTAATAAGTAAAGCTCAAAGGTGCAGTTCACGATAATGTTGGGTAATCCAGATTATGACGAAATATGGAAGATAAGATGGGAAATAGTGCAATGAAAGCGAAGAAAGTGCGTGAATCGTGCTTTCAAAGTGATAAAAAAGGCTTCGAAAAATCTTATAAATTAGGCTGGATGAGAACGAAACTAGAAAAATGAAGGAGAGTGGGGCGATTGAACGAGCTTTTTAACGCACGTCATTGCGTAAGTGTGGGTCCTGGTGCGAATAACTGACAGCTGTGAGCAAAAATTCATTCGCTTATAAGCATAAGTTAACGAAAAGATCTAGTAACAGCTAAAAGAGTCCACCTTCTTCAGACTCTAGGTCCAAAATTAGAACAAGAATAAGGATTGCAAGGAAATAAGGAAGGATCGCAGAAGCAAAAAGAATAAGAGTGAATAAGAGAACGGGAAAAATACATCGCCTCATCCTTCGGTGATCAGCTGATGTAGGTGGGCCCTAAAACGAGTGTCCAGTCTGTATCGTCTCGACACTCGCCTGACGTGACATCGATCGAGGGGCGGAAAGTCCGGTAGTTCGGTAACGGGGCTCCCACTATGCCCTAGCTGGTGGTTTTGGGGCTCGACAGCTTCCGTCCTGTTGACCGTGGGGCCGCTGATTATTCCCAAGGGGGGAAGGGGGGATGGGAGGGACTCGGGACCATTCTGTCGTGAACTGTGCCTTTAAAGCTTAACGGCTCAGTGCTGATATTGGCCGACTAGCTCATCACGTTGTGCCTGTGAGGGCTGATAAGCTGTGGCATATAAGATATCAAGAAGGCGAGGGCATGCGGGGTTGCGGAAGTTTAAGGGATAGAGCACAGTGCTCGGATAGCACATGAACGGGTTCGAGTCCCGTACTTGTGCGGGACTCAAACTCGTACTTGTGCTATCACTGCCCATATTCGCCGACTTTGTGAGACTTTCGCCCTAAGCGGCAGCTTTCGTTTTAATTCATATCATACAAATCATTTTATATATTCAACAATCTGTGAGGAATGGTGGAGCTGGAGTGGTCGACGTATCCAGTTACTTTCCGCCCTCGAAGTTATTATTTCAGTATACAAAAGAGCATGTGAGAGCAATAAGAAATCAGTGGCTGACACCGACGGAAGAGATTCGGCCTTACTGAAAGGCAGTAAAGCTCAAAAGGCAATGATCAGTTACCACTGCGCTGGATTCCGAAGTCTAAACAAAATGTTTTATTCAAGAGTAAGTTCGTACCTAAAAAACACGCAGTGCAAAAGATACGTTGGATCTGATGGCATTTTTATCTACGAGGGATTTATTGCGATTTTAATTCTCTGTTTGAATATCTGATTATGGCTGCATATCATCAAAAAATCTTTCACCGGATATAGTGGAAGGCTAAAGTTTATTGGAACTAGGACGTTCCCTCAGCCTTTCGTTAATAGCAACTAGAGTAATTAATAAATGCAAAGCTAAACAGAAATCGAATTATTCCTGGCTGAAAGGATGCGAAAACTAAAAAACAAGCCAAGATTAAGGCAACACCCTCTGTGACCAATGACCCTTACGATCATGTTGGTTGGAAAAGTTCTTCGTAGTTGCAAGAGACTTTCTATTGAACGAAGTATCGGGATACATCAAGCTGTGCTATCTATCGCACCTAAACTGGTCTTTTCTTGACTTCTATAGAAATAAGGGATATCGAAGCTTGATCAGCGCCTAGTTCATCAACGAAGGATAAAGGATAAATATTCTTTCGAGTATAACCGTTTTTAGGGTTACACCCCGCATTCGACTTCCTTCAAAATCCAAATGGTGATTCTGAATGTATACATTCACATATGGCCTACACAATGGCATACGCTGGCCAGCTATTGTTGGAGTCAGCATTCTTTGACGGATAGAGACTCAATATTTTTTGTGATTTTTATCTCTAATGCATTCAAGCTGATACCCTTTGGAGCCCTGGAGCCTCTCCAACAAATAGCAGAAAGAAAATTTAAGTGTACAATGCTGAAATGAGCCCAAAACAGGTTCTACTCTTACAACTTTAATGTATTATAACTGAGTACTCAGCTCATCGCATATACTATGCGGGGGAAGCCTGCGGAACGATGCAATATTGGACATTTCCTGGAGGACATCTGAATTCAGCAAGTTTTTATAGATTGCATGCTTTAGACGTGCCAAAACAGCGGAGTGAGTTGATATCGCTGCTTTATAACTGAGAGGAAAATCTCCTTGGATTAGCGAGTTCCAAGTGGGCGAAGGCAGAGTGCTCTACCTAGCAACCTTAGTTTGTTACGTGATTTAATCCTTTTCAAGGTGCACGAAGTTGAAAGTCTAATTTGGCACTTTTTACGTGAAAACGGTCACCATTATGAAGAGAAGGATTTGATTCCTCCAGCACGAAGTGTTCGTTCTTTTTTGGAAGCGCAAACAACGGAACATGCATAATGGGAGCTTTTTTACCTCCACTTTATTTGTTTGGGGAGGCTGGGTAGGTGGTCAAAATACATAATGCTATGCTCTTTCTCCACAATTTCGAATCAACAAGGAAGCCTGATCTGTTAAAATAATAGCCCCTGAATGCTACTAACAACCTGAAGTACAAATTTAGCGAGCTCGTCAAAAATTCTTCGAAAAGATTTAGTCTGGTGGAGTTGTGCAGGGAAATAAGAATAACAGTCAGCAAGTATCTACATCATACCCGCTTGGCAGACGGTGGTTTGTTCGTCGGTAAAATCGGTTTGAGCTTGAATCTTACAAAAAATGCGGTATTATTACAGAGCTCCTGAGAGACTTAGTCCGGATTCGCTACCGTGATGCACTTATAGAAGACCCATACCTGTTTCTTGATGCTCCGTTCGAATTCATTGGAACGACTGTCTCTAAATGTTCCATCCTTAGCGAAGACCCCTTTTGTTCTGCACACATGTTAACTCTGTTATCCCATTGCGGCACAGTTGACTAATAAACAAATAAACATTCACCACACTTTCACCAGCATTTGAAGACCCTTTCTTGATGATGGATGAAGTTCTAAGCCTTCAACTTGCGTCTTCCTACCCATAGTTAGTCGCATATGAACTCTCATCCTGCTGTGAACTTCTACTTCTTTGCTCATCGTCACTACCGAGTCCCACTGCAAGCTTGTTTTCTGACTTGCGTCTAAGGGATGGGAGACTCGAAAGCAACTCATCCCATATATGTAGTACGAAAGTGTACCCGACGCCTCTCACCCTGTGTGTCTGGCTAGAATTCGGACTCTCAGTTAGGGCTTCGGAAGAATACTGTCTGGATCTGCTCGATAAGTCAATAACGCATGTAGGAGCTAGGGAATAGAGCTAGGAATACTTGACAAAAACTTATTCCCATTTACTGAATATAGATCCCCGCGAATCGACTATATTCATCTGAGTGAATACAGCCGCTTCTGCAACTGACAGCTGAACGTGGAAATTGATATGTTAGCCTTTGTCCGTGGTTGAAGACTCATTCCTATCCACCATGGAGCCTTCCACGAAGTTATGTGTCTCTATTTGCATTTTCGCTCCAGCTTTTATATATTTCCTAATTGCTGTATCGAGAAGTCCGAAGGCAGAGTACAGGGTGAGCTCTCCAAATACTAAATCGCTATCAAATTAAATGTTCTTATGAATGTGAAGAGTTTGCTACTTGGGTAAATATTTACAGTTGAACCAGTCGCTGTATTCCGTAACCACATTTCTAGATTCGAGGCTTAGGGATCATTCCAACTAACTGTGAATACTTTGGCTACGTGCCAGTTTTCGACGTGCGTCAACACATTCTCACACTAAGTAGCCCATATTTATCACTGTCGCCATTCATTTCCATACCCAACGGGTCTTCAGAGCACAATGCAACCTCAACACTTGATTCTCTACTAGTATCACTACTATTTGAGAATGATCTGAAATTTTACTCGAGATATTAGTCAAGTAACTTGACACTTTAATGAATAATGTTGGCGCAACTAGATGCTCTGCTTTAGGGTTTCATAGCGGAGTCTGAAATGATTTATAATCCACAAAGATGGCCCCCAGAACAGAGAAAGAAAGCATATGCTCTAGCAGACAAGTAAGTCCATTTTCTTAGCGTCAGCTTTCAAAAATAACTTTCCTCTAGTCTAAAAGAAGCCCTATCTACTGTCAAGATACCACTCAAAAAGTGATCTTCATAAGAAAAGAGAAACTTGGTCACAATAACTATAAGATTCGGAATCTATGTAGAACTTTTCGGTATCCGGAATAACGCCTTTGCGAATGTCATCGACACAATGGTTTCCCCAGTGATGTGCGACTTAACGACCTCAATATTCTTTACGACCTGTTCATTGAACCCATTTGAGATTCCCTTTTTCTCTTGTTAGCGTTTTCGTAGTGGGTTAGTGCCACCAGATGAGCTCACATGTATGCCTGGACATCATTCCCAAACCGATTTCTTCCACAGATTTCTTAGTGAACTCCACCTTCTCGACCGGTTGGCTACTGTCAATCCCGATTTTGTATGCAGGTCAAGCGTTTCTGAACTAAACTTATCTTAGCCGAAACTCTTCCCATTATCCTTCAAACTTACATTTCCCTACATGCCGGTGAAAGATGAATTTGTTTTACAGATACAACCAAAACATCCGGCCCGAGGAGTATATAAGGTAAGAATCTAATTCTTTTGACATCAGACTGAGTCACGATTTCGAGGGTAAAGCAATGATGCATCCGTCTTTCGTTGAACTGCGCTAATTCATTCAAACGCTATGTGATTGGGCGGCTACATGCGGATCCCTGGAATCCAAAGACAAAATTACATCATCGCTGGCATAGGAGAATCCACACAGGCAACGTCATCTCACTTTACCATTGGTGTATACCCATCGAATGGCGAGACCACTAAAACAATGGGACTAAGTTCTGGAAATAAGCTGGGGTCTAAACGCATGCTACCATATGTAAGCTACATAGCTGATAGAGTGGTTGGAATGATTGAGATATATCTATCCAAGGATGTCTTAATTCCTTAAGTGCAGGTAAAGTTTCTATGACCACTGAAATGATGCTCCGTGCGTGCACAGCATCAGAACGAGGAAACAATGAACTAAAAACTACCTTTCAAGTTCAGACTACTCTCACCTGAAAAGGAAGCTCAAGAATAGGCTTTTCCGTAGTCAAGATGAGAAGAGGTACAGCACCCGGTCCAGTTCGGGAAAACTTCGTGAACTCAGAAAGTGCCTATGTCCTACCGTAGTAATCGTCAAAATTCCTAAGAACCAATTAAAACGGAATCAACTACAACTAAATTTATACAAGGCGCTTCATTTAATGAGAGTCATTCTTCATTGGAAGTTTATGATTGCTGTTACAACATAAATCCTTGTGATATCAGAGGACAACCTGTAAATAATTTCACAGACTGAAGTGAGAATGTTCGAGAATGAAATCCATTAGGTACCGAAACAGACAAGTAGGGAAGATGGGCGAATTGGTCTGTTTGAGTTTTGAACGGTGGCTTTTCAAATAGTTTTTTAAAACGGAGTGATTGATCCAAGAAGTTCAGCATCATGAGCCAGGCAAGTGTGTGCGCTAGAGGCTAAGGCTCAATGTCAGAGCACAAATGGGAAAGACTTCTTAGGAAGGGGATAGAAATCCAATTGAATTCTGTGGGGTAATTAGGAGCAAAAACGGAAGATTCTTAAAAACAGCAATATACGCTTCATAATTAAAGTTTGCTTGAGTTTCCCCTGTAGGTGCATGATGATCGACTGCCATGAGGATGTTAGCAATGGGAGGGCACTACATACTGTAATTTGAAATGGCTAACCAAGAAATGTTGGCTGTGCGAATCAATTCTATTCATTTCCTGCCTGACAGACTCATCTCGGGATAATAAATATTAATAGATACATACGTGCCTGTTTTAAATGCTAAACGCCAATTCGCAACGTTATGAAGTGGACGTATACTGAAAACAATTGGGAGAAGGCAAAAAGCCAATTTTCAACATCACGAAAAGGAGGCATGGTGAAAACATTTGGGAGAACGATATACGTAAACAGCAAAATATATTTTCAGCCCTCAAATCGCCCGTGGACTTCCTCAGTAGTCGGGTTCTCGAAGCTCACCCAAGAACGCAAGAGAACCTAAAACGAATGCGTCTAATATTGTGGCAAGAACCCGAACAGCGGACTCTTCCTGTTACTTTTCAAATGGCAAAAGCCGTTCCTACTAGAGTTCTGTGTTTGTAACCGTTCTTTGCTATCTGTTGATATCACAGTGTATGGCAAGCCAAGCAGCAGAAGTGGCGTAATGTAGCAGTCATGTGCCGTTGTCAAAGCGTTCATACTAAAGTTCATAACCGTTCATACTTGGGAATCTAGATAGCACTTTTTTCATGAGAAATGTTCTTGACACAGCCGAAACTGCTGTTTTGCTTGTCGATTTTGATGTTCATGCGTCTTCAATGTGAACCATTTTTGTGACCAATAAAGTTTTCGACTACTCATGTAAGAGGACTGCAACATTTGAGTGGGGTGGGGGGGGGGGGGGGGGGGGGGGNGGGGCGAGCAAACTAGTGTTTCTTGTAAAACTGGTATCTGAATGCAGGCAGTGATATGTTGCAATTTTTGAAGTTCCGATGCTATGTAGACAGAGACAGCAGCAATGCTGATGTTGGTTTTTGCCAACTGCTTCCCATGTAATAGTAGTCACCTTGAATGTTTGAGAATTCCACCTCAACTCCTTTCTGTCTATGCCTAAACAACCGCATTCCTAGCTCCCCTATATCCCCTTCTCCGACGTGTGATTTGTGCTTTGAAAAAGAGTAATGAAAGAGAATGTAGAGATCTTTTCATGTGATACTCTCTGCGGTGGTTCTTTCCATTACTTCGTTCCCATACGCCACTTGGTTTTTCTTTCATTGTAATACGTCTCCAATTCTTTGTTCGTTTTTCCACTCTCAACGAACTTCGTCACAACGGTGTATTCATTATTCATGATATGAAATTGGTAGCAAGAACATTCTCAAGATTATAGGAGGTTTACTGCACAAATATTTCGGTTTTTTTATCTAAAACGTTACAGCATTTCGAGAATTATAGATTTGTCTCATGGAGATCCACTGTTTATGAAAAGTGAAACTGCCAGTAGTGCATGAAAATGGTAGGAAAGAATCGTAAACGGATCGAAATGCTAAGCATGGACGTTTCTGAAGCTTACTGAATAGTTGTGGAGAGATGAGGGCTGTGGCTTGTAGAACACTGTTGAACAGCACAAACAAGGTAAACTAGCTGACTGGGAACCTGCAGAATTGATCCAAATGGCGGATCCGATTCCAGCGTGCGAGAGCCTTATAATGGTCTAGTCAACTATCAGATCTAAATAAAGGAAAAAAAAGAAGAGAAGAACTGCCTGGGAGTATTGAGAGCACACAACGGTGAGGAG